CGCGAGAGTTTAGTTACTCTTGCAACTTGGAAAATGTATCCAGAGTTAAGGCTACAAAAATTGGCATGGAGTTTGAGATAAAATTGCATTGCAACTTAAGCCATTCAACACGTTGCAAGAGTTTGGTCCCATATGCAAACTGATAACTATCGAGAGTTAAGCCGCACGTTTAACATTAATTTAAACTAATAATATCCCTGAACCCTAAACCCTTACCCTGAACCCTAAACCCTTAACCGCTTAAAGCTATCGTTTTGATTGTCAACTAAACTATGTTGCTATCACTTTAAATGACCGAGCGTTGTAATAGGTTCTAAGGGTTAGACCGGAAGCTGTGATCGCTGCCTTTGAATTTGGTCAAGTAGCGGAGACTTCCCAGCTCGGCTTTCGTTGTCATTGTGCATTCTCATTGCAGCCGTTTCTTCTTGGCCTGTTGTTTCAGATTTGCCGGTGGAAACATGCCACCGACCCGACGGAAATCGCTTGGGGATGCTCCTGGCTCTGGCAAGAAGTCGAGGACCATGTTGGACTACACAAGCAAGGTGTCCGCAGAAATCGAGGGGCCAACCAAAGAGTTTCGCGAGTGGCTGTGGGTGACTGAGTTTTTCTTACAATGTGAAGTTTGTGCGTTTTGGTTTTAGTTGGTGGACTTAAGGCGCGATGTGACTGCCAAGCGCGAGACATTCCACAAGTACATGGCCACAACCTTTGCCGACAAGGACAGCGGAGTAGTATTTGTCCCCTCTGTCGCCGGTTTTTGCCGCTAGGATAAAGTCTTGGGTTTCCTCAAGTTCATGGACTTGACATTCCCGGCAGACGACAAAATGCCGGCGCCTTGAACGCTTAAAATTTGGCGGCAAGAATAATTCTGTTGCGCTCACACCGAGGGTATACGCGAAGACCTGCGACATGGAGCGCAACGGAACTGGGGTGCTTTTGCGCCCTTTCCACCTAACATGGTTCCCTTCCAGTGGCTTCAAAGGCTACGTAGAGCCTGTCGGGAGCCAAGTCAAACTTTTGTCACCTTTAAGAATTGCTACCTCTTCCTGCAATTGCTGGGATCTTTGTTCTTTTGAGGACCAGTTGCTGTCCTTGTGCGAACTTGTGATCTCGAACACGTCAGCCCCTGAGCACTTGCCATTGCTTGAAGCATAATCATATTGATTCTTGTTTTGCCTTCTTCCAAGGTTCCAGACCAACCCAGATGCTGGAGGGGTTGAGAAGGTGTCGATCTGCCTTCCGCCCGGTTCTTGCATGAAGGACATCCCAAAGTTCTCAATGAGCGACATAGCTGGTGATGCCGAGCTTGTGTCGCCCCTGGCCTTGTTCTACGTTAAAGGGTGGACTCGGTCAGTTGCAGCAGTGGCCATCATGGCCTGCTGCTACGAGAAGGAAGCATTTCTTGAGGCAGATTTAGTTTCTTTCCTTGCGCAAAGCACGTTTTCAACGTGAGTCGGTTTTTTAGAACCATTTGGAAGTGATGATCATGCTGAAGAGGCTTTGCCTGCCGGGGTGAAGGAGCCAGCCTCTGAGTGTTTTGGTCTAGCCTCTCGATTGCGCTTTGAGAGTTGGCTTTGCAGTTGAGGTCGTTGGGGACCATATACGCTGCAGTGCATTGTTCGACAGTAGCTGATCCCAGCCAGAGTGTTTCATTGCTTCTGGCAAGCAACAGAGGCGCGGCGATGTCTAGAGTCTAAACTAAGTCACTTATCGAAAGAATCATGGCCGTTGAACCCTGATTTGCATAGGCATGACGCTTCAAAGTGTCGTTCGGAGGAAGCCGAACGCTTTCAATCTGCTTCGTCAGCTGCGAATCCTGCAGTCTAATGGCTGTGACACAGCGCACTTTGAAAAGGCGAAGTTGTTAGTTGCTAGTGGGCTTCACATGTCATCTGCCACCTGGCAGGTTTGGGAGGATGCTTCTCAGTTCCAACAAGCTCTTAGCATAGGCAAACAGGAGGCTGGCGCAGCATACAATTTGCTACAGGAAATCGACCCGGATGTCACTTCGAAATTGTCCTCTTTGGTGATGCCGCTAGGCTGTTCATTTGTGCGGTTAAAGGTGCTTGTTGCAAAAGATTGCTAGCTCACTTTTTGTGGTTGATGCAATTAGTTCTTGCCATCTCGAGAAGACGGTTTTTGTGGTTGCCAGCATGGGGCCCAGGCGATGGAGCATGCCACGCTTCATATCGCACGAGCCCCTTTCGCTGGGATATTTCAATTCCTCGTACAATGGGGGAACCGGTGCTTATTCAGCCTGGCAGGGCCACCTTGCCAACGACAGGTCTGTGGTTGATTTGCTGGTCCAGCGTTTGGCCTCAGACTATGAGGCGCTTCCGGTAAAGTTGAGGAAAGCTTGGGGTGCAAAGGAGGTTGACGCTTGGGCCAATGTTCACTTTGTTTTGCACATGTAGTATCTTAGCTAGACCAGCGGCTTTGGGCCGCTCTTGCCCAGGAAAGCCTTCAAAGAGTTTGCGGTGCGTGGATCCACGCGGTCGAAACAATGAAAGGTCAGCTGCCGGATGATTTCACCAGCAAGGAACTCCCACAGCTACAGAAAGGGTTTCTTGCTTGAATGTCGTCTCAAGCTTAAAGTAAGTGCACGCAAAACAAAGACTCTAAGGTTGCTCCAGGTCGTTGCAGCTAATTATTACCCATCTCAGCCATGTTGCTGCAGGTTCTTGTTGAAGTACGCAGACATAGAGCTCCAAGCCGCCCTGGACGGCGCTGTGCCGCCGATCAAAGTGGAATCGATTAGCGTTCTCCGGCCCGTGCTTTTCAAATTCCAGCGCGAGGCGCAGTTAGTGTTTTTTTGGGTGGCCTTGCGCGTGTATAAGTTTGCGAGGCAGACCAGAAGCGAGAGAAGGAGCTTGTAGAGTTTCCAGCTCAGCAGTTTTTTCGGGGGGGTGGAACCTGCCGGCTGTTGTTTGCAATCTCTCAGGCTTCAGGAGCAGATAGCTGCCGTTGACCTGAAGAAGCTTGAGACAAATATTGCAAAGGACCTCGAGAGCATGACCAAGTGGGCCAAATCGTGCGCAGATGAATCCAACCGGAACGCTCACCTTGACTTGAAATATTTGAACGCACGATATGAGAAGGGTGTGCGTCTTGTTGATGAGTTCATGCAAAAGCGTCATGAGTACAAAGACAGCACGATTGGCTTGGCCACCGCGCAGCCGGATATTTTGCGGTTCATGACCGATAATGAAGCTGGACCACAGGGGACGCTCAGACGAACAGTTGTGTTGCCACGAATTGAATCACGATCTTTCGTTCGGTGTTTGCAAGTGTTTTGCGCCAAGGACCGCGCTCTTGATTTTGGATGCCACGTCATGGCCAGGGCGTTCCCTGCCTGCAGCCAGCCAGTGCGTCGTGATGTCAGTCTCAATGTATTCTAACTTTTTCTGGGCTGGCAGGTGTTGAAGTAGTTGACCAGGCTATTGACGCATCCAAAGCCATTCTGAATGGCAACGAAAACGCTTTCCTTCTGGTCCTCACCCCAGTGCCAGCCACTCCATCTGACCGTGTTGTCACAATACGAAAGAAAAGGATGTTGGAAGACAAACTGATGGCGTGCCTTGGCCTGGTGTTGCATTCACTTCGAGTGTAAGAAGTTCAGAGAGCTTGCATATGCTTGTTAGACATTTTGTGCAACCTTTTTGCTGGCTTCTCGCAATTTGTTCTCAGGAGCTTTGAGGTTCAAGAGATTAGCATTGTCTTTCAAGATAGTGGGCACGCAAACGATCGCCGCAGGCGCTCACAACTGAGCTCTTCGTTGGCAAGTTTAGGCTCTCTGCGAAATCCCACAAATCCATTTTGCTTACTACTTACCACGCGTTGATGCGCCCAGGCTACTTGTGTGTGTCGGGGCTGCACAGCAAGCCAGCTGTCGTCAAGTCAAAGGCGTACCTGGGCGCCATCGGCCCAGTAGAGAGGGCCAGGGTGATGGACCTGGCTGCCGCTGGTGATGACAAAGCGATCACGCCTGCTGCGCGGGTACCGTGCTTAGAACCTAAATGCTCATATTATGCAATTGGCAATTTTAAGTCGAACTGTGGGGTTGGTCACAGTTCCTGCTTGGAGGCCATGCAGAGGGGCGTTGAGGGGTGCAGGAAGATCATCGAGAGCATCATGGAAGGTCTCACATTCAGGAACAACAAGTTTACAGTGATCGACCTTTGCTGCAACAGGCGCTTCCGCGTTCTTTGTTTGTCTGGTGCTATTTATTTTGTGAACTGCGTGTGCTATTTGATCCATGGCAGTAGCTGTGTCGCCCGCTGTGCAGGTTTAACGAGTTTGGTTTGGCCTGTTGGTTGATGCAAAAAGAAGAGCTCACCTCAGGAACGCGCCCTGTGGCACTGCAGTTCCTGTCCTTTCACCCCGGAGGAGATGACCATGAAGAGTGTGAGCGTTTGAGAAAAATCATGTCAGGAAAGGTTTTGGCCGAAGCTGAGATGCATGAAGCATTGGTTCATTGTGATTTCGCACGAGCTCTTGTTTTGACTGGTTCGCTTCTAGCGCCTTCTGGTTCAGGAATGGTATGATGAGTGCACTGATGCCGGCCCGAAGCAGCGTCCCACGACCTCTGCCCAGCCTGTGCGCCCCACCCTTGAGACCTTGTGCTTTCAAGATGGCCGCCTGTCGCGCCTCTCTTGATTTAGCTGTGAAACGTGTGTTGTGTTGGAGTTTCACTCTTGTTGTCTTTGCGCCGCAGCAGTTCTGATTGATTGTTGCTTCGGCCTTACCCTTTTCCAACCGCTCCCAGGATTCCTGAGGTGGTGTTTGACAAACATGGTGGTTTGGCCACCTGCAAGGAGAGTGTCGCGAAGTGGAATGCTTCGTGTGGCCCACTGACTCGCAATGCAAGTGCAGTTGCGCCCACAAGTGCGCCCAGCCCTGGTGCACCCAGATCATCGCCTCCGCGAACAGGATGTTTTCCAGTTTTCCAAGAGACGGAGGAGCCTATCAATGTCGCCCAGACGTACACTTTCCCCGAGGAGTGCGTCCAGCCTGTTGCCCGTGTGGAGGCTGACAACGAGCTCCTTGGTTTTTGTTGCATTGTGCCTTCGGAGGTTGCGCGCGGTGATTGATTTGCCTAGGTTTTGGGCCAGGGGCCCGTCCTTGCTCAAGCCGGAGGTAATGGTCTACGTGACCAAGACGTGGCGCGTGTTTTTGGTGAACAGCACTGAGAAAGACATCACTTTGAAAGCGGGTGAACTGTTCGGATTTAATGTTGGCAGCTTCTCGGAAAAGCCAGCAGGACAGGATCTAATTTTTTCACGTGTTGCAGGTCTGGCGCTGTTTTTTGGTGTTGATGGGGTTGTGGGTTGTATAGAGGACTTGCTCGGAGCAGCAATTCGTGGCTACCCTGGTGGGTTTCTTCGGATGCTGATTTGTTGGTGTGCTCTGATGGCGATGAGAAGAAGGCCATGTCATTGGCAGAGCTGGTGTGCCACTCGGCGCAGCGGAATGGAATCATGGAAGTGCAGTGCCAAGATTTCGACATGAAACCGCAGATGGAGGCGTGGACACTTTTGATCCACCCCTCAAAAAGAGTTGATCGCGGACGCGCGGTTGTCCTACTACCTTGCTTGGTTGACAGGCTGATGGGTCCGCAAAGCCCTTCCGCTACGAGCTCACGGCAAAGTCCAAGGTGTTCTGCTTTGTTCCAAAGAGTTTGGATGTGGGCCATTCCGGTGAGTTGAGGGGCAGCGTACTGGGGGCCATGTACAAGGGCGATTTCGACAAATTGCCAAAGACTTCCTTCGCCCGGTTGCTGTGGGAAGCCCTTTAGCTTGTATATTGGAAACACGGTTTGAACATTTTTTCAAGTTAATTATGTAGGCTGAATGCAGCATGCCGAAAGTTTTTTTTGCTTGAGTCGAGGTTCGGTTTGAACCCAACGTCCCTGCCATCATCATCCCGAAGAAGCCAAAATTTTGGCTTTGCGCAGAAACGGTTCTAAGAGCCGGTCATGGCCATGAAATCAAGTAGGCATTTTTTGCTGAAGCTTTCGTGTGAAGCCTGAATTTTGACAGACCGTTTCTTGCTTCACCAGATTTTCTCTTGCAGGCCGCGTAAGAAGTTGCCTGACAGATTTTGCGAGATAGCCGTTAGTGAGCGCCTGCGTTGAGCGTGCTGTGCGCATGGAGCAAAAGTGCAACGTAGAAGGCAACATGTTTAAAACGTGAAACATAGAGCTACAATAGCAGCAACAGTCAGACTGAGGCGTTATTAACTACCAACACTGTGCCCGGTTTGATACCAAT